TCGAGGTGTAGCTCTGAGCTTGCTGTGTAATGAGTGCCTGGTGACCAGTGAAGCTGCTGAGCCCAGCAGATGGGCTCGCACGATGGGCGTTGTGATCGCGGTCACCCTGACACTGATTTCTGAGTCTTCAGAATCACCCCAGTAATTTCAGTTCCCAAGCTTTGCTGCAGGGATCAGCTGAGCCAGCAAGGGAGTGCTCCCCGGGGAGCCCTGGGTGCGTACACAGTGGGGAAAGCCTTTGTTCCACAGGACTTATTGGAGCTATATGAATTCACACTGGAGACGAACCTCATACCTCGGGAAACGTGTCAGGATTCACGGTGGCAAGAAGCCAAATGTATGTAAGGAACGTGGGAAAACTCACTTGTTCCTCAGGCCTTGTTTTACACCCTGGAGAGAAGCCCTATGATCAAGGAATTGTGGGAAAGTCTTCACTCAGTCCTCTGGGTTCACTGCGCATTTGAGAAGTCACACTGGAGAAAAGCCACATGAATGTAAAAAATGTGGGAAAGCCTTCTGCTGTTCCCCATTCTTTAATGACGACAGGCAAACTCGTAGTGTTCGGCACTCGTTAAACACAGGAACTAAGGTTTGTGGGAAAAATCTGGAATGTTCTCTAAACCTTAGTGTTCACATCTAAGTTTATCTGGAAAAGCCTTCATGAAGTAAAGAAGATGAGATTCGTCTCTCAGTTTTCATCCCTCACATAGTTTCGGCTTACCAGGGGAACAAATCTCTTTCATACAGGGAATATGGGAGAACAGTTAATTCATATCTTACCCATTGTATAGAAACTCACACATAAGAGGAAAATCAGGTTTTGAGACAGAATGGAACCCTTCTTTGTGTGTGTGTGTGTGTGTGTGAGAGAGAGAGAGAGAGAGAGAGAGGGTCTCTTTACTTTTTAAATTTTTATTTATTTGATATTGGGGATTGAACTCAGGACCTTGCTCCTGCAAGGCAGGCAGTGGCACCATTGAGCTAAACCTCCAGTCAGATAGGGTCCCTTTATGTAGTTCAGGCTGGCCTCAAACTCACGGCACTCCTCCTGTCTCAGCCTCCCAAGTGCTGGGATTACAGGCATCTGCTACTATGCCTGCTGGAAAGCTTTTTTTGTTTCAATATTGTTAACCACTTAACTCACAATAATCAGGCATGATAGTGCATACCTGTAACCCCAGCTACTAGGGAAGCTGAGGCAGGACCATCTCAAGTTCAAGCCAGCCTGGATGATTTAGTTAGGCCCTACCTCAAACAATACAATTTAAAAGAATGTAGCCTTGTGGTTGAGCGCTTATCTTGTGTGAACAAAGCCCTGAGTTCGATTCCCTGTACTGAAAAAAGAGGCGCAGATGCTCCATATATGTTTAAAATATAGGAAAGACTTCAGAAATTTCGGACAGTCATGTGGAGGAAGCCTCATAAATTTAAGAAATGTTAAAATCCTTCAGATATTACTAAATGAGTCACAATGGGCAGTGGAGAGAAACCTATGGAGGTAAGAAATGTGGGAAAGCTTTAGTTCTGCTTTGTGTTTTAAACTTTGCTAATCTAAGCAGAGCGTGGCGGCACAAACCTGTAATTCTAGCACTCTCGGCCGGGGAGTTAGCTCAGCGGTGCCGCTGCCTGCCTCACAAGCACAAGGTCCCGAGTTCGATCCCCGGTATCAAAAACAAAACAAAAACTCCAATCCTAGCAATCTGGGAGGATGAAGCAGGAAGATCAAAGTTTGAACCTAGCCTGGGCAACTATGTGATTTAGCAAAATCCTGTCCCAAAAGGGCCAGGGATGTAGCTTAGCTTGAAGGCCATGGGCTCAAACCCAAGTGCTGCAAAATAATAAAATAATAATAATAACAATAATAAACAAATATTTTGGTTCATGATTTCAGGGGGTCCAGTCCATGATTAATGGCCCTGTTGCTTTTGGCCTAAACATTTGGCAGAACAAAACCTGTTTACTTCATGGCCAGGAAGTAAGAGATGGGACCAGAGTCCTATGTTCCCTTCATGGGTACTGCCCCCTTAGTGACCCGAAGACCTCCACTAGGCTCTGTCGCTTAAAGTTTCCTCCGCCTCCCAACAATCCCTTGGTGAGAACTAATGCATCACCCTTGGGCAACATTCCAGATCCAAAGTCTAGCGTCTTCCCAAGAGAGTCTTCAGAGGTATTCTTGCGCTTTTGGCCTAAACATTTGGCAGAACAAAACCTGTTTACTTCATGGCCAGGAAGTAAGAGATGGGACCAGAGTCCTATGTTCCCTTCATGGGTACTGCCCCCCTTAGTGACTCGAAGACCTCCACTAGGCTCTGTCGCTTAAAGTTTCCTCCGCCTCCCAAGAATCCCTTGGTGAGAACTAATGCATCACCCTTGGGCAACATTCCAGATCCAAAGTCTAGCGTCTTCCCAAGAGAGTCTTCAGAGGTATTCACATTGTTTATATCATCATACTTGTCTACTTTTTTTTTTTGGATCCTCCTTTTGTTTTGTTACCAGGGATTGATCTCAGGACCTTGTGTTTGTGAGGCAGGCATAGCGCCACTGAGGTAAATCCTGTTTATTGTACTTGTCTACTATGTTGTTAGTATTATGTGCCCTGGAAGCCATGGGCAGAAAGTACTAAATACTTTAGATATCTTTCTAAGACATTTACAAACCAGGGCTGGGGATTTAACTCAGTGGTGCCACTGCCTGCCTTGAAAGCACAAGATCCCAAGTTCAATCCCCAGTACAAAAAAAAAAAAAAATTACAAACCAAAGGGTGAAGATGCAGGGCCAGCTAACCCAACCTTTCAAGTCCTTAGTTACTGCACCTCACACGACGTGCTCCCAACATGAAGCACAGTCCACGTTGGAATGTCCTTTAGCCCCTCTACAGGGTCTCCTAGACCCTGCACTTTCAGTTGGGAAGACAGCCAGGCGGCACTGTACATCAAGCTGAGATGGTAGCACAACTTTCTCGAGCATTTAATGTGAACGATCCATTGGACACCATGATGCTCACAGCGTCCATGGTAAACAGCGCGAGAGTGGAAGATTCACACAAGCGCTGATGTGAGACTCGGAGCTCACAGCTGCCCTTTCACCTGGAAACTTGTTTCACTCTTGAGACAGCTTATGATTGGTACGTGATAGAGACTGAACAACTGAGACATCCTGTGACCAAGTAGCCTGGGCTTCCCATCACAAAAGGAGTGTTATCTATGCCACTGAGGAGTAGACCATCAGCAAGTGGGCGTGCAACAGAAGACACCGATCTCAGGCAACTCCAGCAGGTAGAATTGAAATATTGGTATGCCGGGCGTGGTGGCACACGCCTGTAATCTCAGCACTCGGGAGGCTGAGGCAGGAGGATCTCTGTGAGTTCCAGACCAGCCTGGGCTACATAGTGAGTTCTAGGTCAGTCTCAACTACCTAGTGAGACCCTGCCTCAAAAAAACAAACAAACAAAAAAAAACCCAGTTGCAACTGAGAAACAACCTCAGGAAAGGATGGGATTCTTTCTCACAGGACACAGTGCTTTGAGTCAAAGCCTTGCATGGTTCTGACCCCACAGCCAGAACATACGGGTCCAGAGAGTGAGTGAAGTGGAAATAGCTCCACTCATAAAATGTCTCCTTACACCCGCAGCAATGGAAAATGCTGGCCGGTTTGCAGCGCTTTGTCACTGATAGGAAACCCTTCTTCCTGGGAGAACAATGAAGGTCCCAATATATAGCGTTCCACCTGCCCATCTGGTTTTTTTGTGGGGTTTTTTTTTGGGGGGTACCAGGGATCGAACTTGGGACCTTGCACTTGTGAGGAAGGCTGGATATTTTCTAGAGGCTTATGTAGTTTATAGCTCTGGACACAGGCAACAGCTCCACTCTGGTGTGAGAACCATTCCAGATGGCATCGCAGGGTTGGGAGGGGAGAGATTATATGGTGAGAGAGGAAGGCAGAGAGCAGGGCGGGGCTGGGCTTGGGATGACCAGTGAGGCTGTGTCTCTTAAAAGTCCCACCCCCTCTTCACATCACCATAGTGAAGGCCAAGTTTCCAACTCTTAAGTTGGAGGACACACATCAGATCCAAACAATAGCACTAGGAACTGCATGCCTCTGCTGAATGACCCTTATGGGCTCAAGAGCATGCAAATCTTTGTTGTCTAGGCAGGGGAAATGTTGACCTACATAGTGAGACCCTGTCTCAAAAAAAAAAAAAACAAAAACAACAAGCAAAGCAGAGCAAAATAAAAGTATGTGTGACATTAATGAAGATGGCAGATCTGGAGTTACATTGTTTGAGGTTACAGACTCATACATTAGTAAAATGTACATAAAAATGTGATTTTCTCTGAATCCAATGGGAACAAGATCAACACAGAAATCAGTAGGGGTTAGAAAGCACCAAGAAGACAGTACTCTTCCCTTTGGGGCATCAGCGGTTTGATTGATAAACCTCCTAGGGGAACCAAAAACATCTTTCAATTTTCAGATAGCACAGATACCACCTGCCTCGAAAGCGCAAGGTCCCGAGTTCAATCCCTGGAACTAGATTAAAAAACCAGCAGCGATAGCAGTGCCTGCCTTCAGACTTCCCTGTTGGGGACGGGGCATAGAGCTTTATGTTTTGGCTGAGATTATATCAAGATCATGGGTTAGGACTGGGGATTTAGCTCAGTGGTGCCACCACCTGCCTGGAAAGCTCAAGGTCCTGAGTTGTTATGGCTTGTGTGTAGAAGTCTTCCCAAATCCTTGTGGTCATAGGTGGGGCTTATTCAGAGGTGGCTGGATCTAGTGTTTGTGTGATGCTGAGATTGATTCACAGTGCAATGCTAGGATTAAGGGTCTGAGTGCTACCTGCCCTTAGGGCGGGTAGCCTGAATAAGACATAAGGGACCAGAAGAGGCTGGTCGTTGGCTTGTTTTTGCTTTCACCTGCCTGCTTGCTGCAGAGTATTTCTCCTCTGCAATGCTGTACTGCCATTAACACCCTGCCTTGGAGCCAGCCCACCAATTGTGAGCAAGTAAGCCTTTCCTCCTCCTTTTGTCTCAGCAATGCAAAAGTAACTAAGACATGAGCAGACCAGTAACAAGCTCAAGCACACACTCAACCCCCAATACCAAAACAACGCTTCTGTGCACATTTTGTGCCTAAAGAGCACTGGTCCATGGACATTGCTGTAGTGGAGGTTCTTAAAAACTTGATGAACTAATCTTCAGTGAAGAGAGGAAAGTCCTCTCCAAAGGCAAGAGCTCAGAGTTGGAGGATGTCTGCATCAGCCGTGAGCTTCTCAGGCAGGGGAATACAAGGGCTGTGACACCAGGCTGTCGGCAGGAGTTCAAGGTCAAGGGTAAGCGACCTGCGGTACATACCTCACCCATGACCCACACCTGCTTGTACTCGGGAAGCTCTGAAGGAGTTCCCCGTGAGACATATTTTTTTATCAGACCAACAGGGTGGCAGTTAAGGCTAATGTATGAGCAGTAACAACCCACAACCAGGGACTCGGGACTGATGTGGTGAGTTTTGGTGTCACTGCCCACACAGAAAGGTGGCAGGTAACACACGGTCTAAACAGCAGTCACCCTGCAGAAGAGCCACTCCATCATTTACTCCTCATTGCAAACGTGTGCTACACAGAGGTGCACGGGTCTCTCCCGCTCAAGACTTAGCGTTTGCCTTATTGTGGAATAAGCACACTAGCTGGCTAAAGAGCCATCAAGCAGCTATGACCCTTACGGCCATCTCAACATAACCCAAGGTTGCTCAGTCATACATGCATTTTGACCACAGACACAAATCCGGTTGTGCTGGGGATGTCTGTACCCAAAGGCCACACTTGCAAAGTGCCGTGATGGTTTCTAGGGAACATGACAACCAGGGTGTTTGTAGATTTTTTTTTTTTGAAAGAGTGTTCCTACGTAGTTTGGGTTGGCTTTGAATGATGTAGCTCAGGCTGGGCTTGAACTCACAGCCGTCGTCCTGCCTCAGCCGGAGGATTACAGGCATGTGCCATCACACCTGGCTCATAGTTTTTGTTATTACATGGAAACGCCTATCAGAGGAAGGTATTACTGTTGTTTGGAGCTGCTGCTTGACCCAAGATTGTTTTACCAATCTGAGAATCTAGAGAGAAAAAGAAAATGTAAGACCTTCACTCCCTTCTTGTACTCCCCAATGTTCTAAGAATCCCCATTCTTAGGTGTAAAGAGTACGGCTGTCCCCCTCTATGGCCATGAAGTTAAGGTCTCTCACACCACCTGCTATTCACTCATTCTTTTCCCCATTTACTTCTCTTAGCACTTTTTTTTTTTTGGTACTGGGGATGAACTCAGGACCTTGCACTTGCAAGGCAGGTGCTGGCAGCACTGAGCTAAATCCCTGGCTCTTAGCACCCTGATCTTTAACCTGAAAGGATCAGATGTAAAGCAGGAGCAAAGACAATGTAATAAACTTGATAACTGAATTAAATCCAAAGGTTGGCTGCTGTGAGCTTATGTAGGTGAATTCTCTTTTAAGACTGTGACACACTATCCATGGAATCTGCATTGGTAAAACAGGAGTTGGGGGTGTACCTCAGTGGTATGTGTAGAAAGACAAGATAAATTCATGTCCTTAATAGCAGTCTTGACTAGGTGCAGCCTATAAAGTGTTGCAACTTGAGTTGAGTATTCCTGCTACACAGGACTGATTTATCAGTCCAGGAATAATCAGGAGAGGATCACAAGTGTTTAAAATAAACCACCCAGGAGGCCATATCTCTGTCAGCATCCGAGATTTCAGGACACGGGGATGCTATTCCTGCACTGGGAACACTGTCTTCACTGTAGACCTCCATGTTTAGGAGTTTGTGGAATAATGACACATAGAAAACAACTTTGTCGCTGGCTCCCAGCTATATGAGGCTGAGGCCGAAGAATCCCAAGTTTGAGGCCGGCCTGGGCAACTGAAGAGACCCTATCTCAAAATAAAAAGGTCTTGGCATGTAGCTCAGTAGTAGCTTACATGCATAAGGTCCTTAGTTCAAACTGTAGTACTCTAATAAAAATACAAAATGACTCTGTAACCTTCCTTATATTAAAAAAAAAAGTTGTTCTCCACTGTGATATCACAAGAGAAGATCAAAGAATTTGGCAGAAATACAACTTTTCAACATCTTGTACATGAACTGACTCTACTGCAAGACCTTATACATATACTGTCCCCAGGAAACACTGAGGATTGTTCGTATGTTACAGCATATTGCTCCAGGACGAGTTCTTTCTTGTTTTGTGAGGCAGGGTCTCACTATGTAGTTCAGGCTGGCCTTTAGCTCCTAGCCCAGGACAGCCCCAAACTCTCAGCGATCCTCCTGCTTCAGCTTCCCAAGTGCCGGGGTTACAGGCGTGCACCACCATGCCGGGCAAAGGTGAGTCCTTACAGTGCTGCTTGTGGTCAGCTTCCAACAGCCTCACGTATTTCTTAACTCACAGAGGATCTTGAGAATAGAGATTTCAGTGTCCTTCAAATTAACTGCCAAAAAGTCTGCTCCTCAATCCTTACGTTAATGTTTCCACCAGTGTGACAATTAACGTGAGGAATTCCTAAAGGGTTTTTGTTCAGTGTGAGTCATGAAACGATCACTTAGTAGGTAGAACCTACTGTAGGCTTTCCCACATTCCTGATATTTATGGGGCTTCTCCCTAGCATGAGTTCTTGCATGGTGGTATCGGTTTGAGGATGTTGTGAAGGTTTTCCCACACGCGCTGCATTCGTAGGGCTTCTCGCCCGTGTGAGTTCTGATGTGTTCAGCCAGGCTTGAGGAAGTGGAGAAGGCTTTCCCACAGTACTGACATTTATAGGGTTTTATTCCAGTATGGATACGAATATGCTTATTAAGGCATGAGGAATTTCGAAAGAATTTTCCGCATACGTTACATTCAAAGGGCTTTTCCCCCGTGTGCGTTTTCACATGTTCAGTCAGCAGATAACACCTTTTGTAGGCTTTCCCACACTCCTTGCACTGGTAGGGCTTCTCGCCTGTGTGAGTTCTTATGTGAACAATCAGACACGAGGAGGTTGTGAAGGATTTCCCGCACTCCTTGCACTCGTAGGGCCGCTCTCCGGTGTGAGTTCGTGTGTGTTCGGTCAGACTTGAAGAGACAGTGAAGTCCTTCCCACAGTACTTACACTTATAGGGTTTGATGCCTGTGTGAATTCGAATGTGCTTATTCCGGCAGGCAGAACTGCTAAAGAATTTTCCACATAACTTACACTCAAAGGGCTTCTCCACCGTGTGAGTTTTCAAGTGCTCAGTCAGCCGGTAGCACCTTTTGTAGGCTTTCCCACATTCCCTACACTGATACGGTTTCTCTCCACTGTGAGTTCTTACGTGTTTCCGAAGATTGGAGGAAGTGTGGAAGGCTTTCCCACACTCCTCACATTCATAGGTCTTCTCTCCCGTGTGAATCCTTCCGTGTTTGCGAAGGTAGGACGCAGCGTGGAAGGCTTTCCCACATTCCTCACACTGGTAGGGTTTCTCTCCTGTATGAATTCTGAAGTGTTCAGTTAGGTTTGAAGAAACGCTGAAGGATTTGCCACAGGCCTTGCATATATAGGGCTTCTCGGCAGAGTGTGTTTGTACGTGGGTAGCAAGGCCTGAGCGCTTAGTGAAGGCTTTCCCACAGTCCTTACATTTATAGGGTTTCTCTCCAGTGTGAATTCTAAAATGTTCTGTGAGGCTTGAAGAAGTAGTGAAAGACTTCTTGCACTCCTTACATTCGTAGAGTTTCTCACCCGTGTGGGTTCGCATGTGGCTATTAAGGTTTGAGGAGTATCCAAAGACCTTCCCGCAAACCTTACACTCATAGGGTTTCTCCCCAGTGTGAGTCCGCATGTGGCTATTAAGGTTTGAGGAGTATCCAAAGACCTTCCCACAAACCTTACATTCATAGGCTTTGATGGTATACATTTGAAAAGGCACAGCCTCACTTGTGGAATAAAGAAAATCTCTTGAAAATACCTTTAATTCATAGAGCTTCTCCCCACTGTTATTTCTTACGTGTGTCTGAAAGTAAGACTTACTAAGGAAGGGAGAGTCACTGCATCCCAAAGATCTGTCCTGCATGCTCACTGTCTGGTAAGCAACATTTGGAGTTGGGCTAAAGGCTGTTTCACATTCATTCAACACAGAACATTTCTGTCCAGTAGAAGTTTTCATCTTCAGGGTAGGAAAGGGTTTTCTATCCTTATCCGAGTCACAAGTGTTCCTTGGATGTAGAGTTTTCATGTGTGTCTTGAAATAGGAATGTTCACTGAAGATTTCTACACAATGTTTATAGTTGCTGTGCATTCCTGCCTGTTAACGAAGAGACGAATGATAGTTTTTAAAAGGAATTTCTACACCTAATGGATTCTATTAATGTGAAGACTGAGAATCTTCATTTTTGGTCACAATTCCTGTTCTGTGGGGTTCTCTCTGGTTCAATGAAGGGAACCCTCTGTAAGAGTCCTGTGCTGACTGTTCTAATCTTGGAATAGTTCCTGATAATTCTCATAAGGTTCTTTTAGGAAGCTCAGTGCCCGATTCCAAGCATGGGAATAAGTACTTGTGGGAGCTCTGAAGCCCGAAGTTTTTTGTCTGTTTGAGACAGGGTCTCACTTTGTAGTGTAGGCTGGCCCTGAACCATGTAGCCCAGACTGGCCTTAAACTCACGGCAGTTCTCCTGCCTCAACCTCCTGAGTGTAATCACACCTAGCTGAAGCCTCGAGTTTTGATCCAGCATTAAGGCACCTCAAATTCATCCCAATCAGAGCATTCCTTTAGAGACCTTTCTCCCATTAAGGTAAATGCCACTTCATTCAAGTATCTCTCACTTTTACGGATGTTTTACAAAGGAATTGCCAATCTTTTCTGAGTGCAATAAATAGGAAATGGTCTTCATTAAATTTAGAGCTCACTGCCGGGTGTGGTGGCACATGCCTGTGATCCCAGCACTTGGGAGGGTGAGGCAGGAGGATCGCTGTGAGTTCGAGACCAGCCTGGGCTACATAGTGAGTTCCAGGTCAGTCTCAACTGCATAGTGAGACCCTGTCTCAAAAAACAAACAAACAAAAATAAAACAAAAACAAAATTTAGAGCTCACCAACATGTTACTTCTTTGCTGTTAATAAATAAATGATGAGTTCAGTACATCATTTAGAGGAGAACTTAGTTTTCATAACATTCTTACGTTCTACCATGATTTCTATAAAACTGAATAAACAAACAGCAACGTCAGAATCTCAGCACTGGCTTTAATTTTAAAGACACTGAGAAGATATTCAGAAGACTGCTTTAAAACAGCAGTGTCTGGTTCCTTCCGTGGCAGTGTGTACCTGTGGGACCTCTGAAGGAAAAGAGGTCCCACCACAGGTTTGGGACACTCCCAAATTCATTACATGCACAGCATCGCTCCAGACTGTTGTCTCCTGGGTTAAGGCTACTCATATTCTATAATGGAACTGACAATTATCTCTCAGTGCAGGAAATGACAAACATCTTTTGCCAACCTTACCATTAGTATCCCACTAGAAGTTTGTTCTGTCAAAATACCCTGCTGAAATGTTGACTCTTTGGTGCTAAGTTGCATTTCCCATTCTGAAGATAAACAGAAAAATAACATTAAGATTTAGAGAAAGAAATGGTAATTATAGGAATTTAAAATGATAGGAGTGGGAGCTGGGGAGACAGCTCAGCAGTACAGCACTTGCTTAGCATGCGTGAGGCTCTGAGTTCAATGCCCAGTACCGCATACACACATGCACAAAGATAGGACTCATTTATGTTCATGATTAAAAAGTAGCCAAAAGACCCCAAAACCTAGGATTAGCGCTTGGCATTTGCCAGGCCCTGGTTTCAATCTCCAGTTTGAGGGAGGGGTGAAAGATGACAAATTCTGAGCATGTAGGTTAAAAATTTGCCAGTACTGGGCCAGTGATGTAGCTCAGTGGTGCAGGCCTTGCAAGTGCAAGGTCCCGAGTTCAATCCCCAGCCCCCAAAATAAACACACACACACACACACACACGCACGCACACACACGCACACACAAATATTTGCCAATGGTACAGTTGTGGGCCACAGTTTCAGACAGTTTATTACAAACTGATTCTCTAACAATTAAAACTGATGGTGAACAAGAATATTATCAGAAATAAAAAGTTGCAAAGACCTAGACAAAGAATAAACAACAAAATGGTAACAAAGAAAGAGAAGTCATTTTGTTTAACACAGGTCAGTGGGATCAGAAGAACTAGTATGAGGAATTGGCCTGAAGCTTCTGATACCAAGTGCATCTCAGAGGTTCCTCATTTTATTTCCATACCTAACGGTGTCCTTGGATCAGGGTTGTTCTTCACAAATACTCACCTCGGGGATCTCCTCTCTGCCCTGTCCTCCAATCCTTTTTGTTTTCCAACCAGGAGATCAGACTGGGTTTGACGAGCTCACATCCTGCACACAGGGAAAGATGCATTCATGCAAGACATTCAGGCAAGAGAGCACTAAACTTAGTTTAATTCAGGAGTGATCCTTCTAAAGAAAGCAAAGGAATTACGATAAAGGGACTAAGCATTCTAATATTTCCCTCTGTGCCCCAAATCATTCATTTTCTCTAAGCCCTGAAACCAAATTAATGCTTATGCATAGACTAGCAAAACACACTTTGGTGTGGTGGTGCACGCGGGAGGCTGAGGCAGGATTGCTGTTTGAGGCCAGCCTGGGCTACAAGAGTTAGTTCAAGGTCATTCTGAACTACATCGGGAGACCCTGTCTCAAACAAACAAACAAAACCACTTTGAATAGAAAAATATAAGTGAAACAAAAAGATACTTGTTCTGGGGAAAAAAACCATGCCAGGGACTAATAAATTATACTGTATCTGACTTAAGTGGCTGGTTTGACAGAACTTACATGACATGGGCTAGGAGTGCAGACTGGTGGGGTAAGGCATTTGCCTAGCATGCACAAGCCCCCGAGTACACCCCTAGTACCACACACAAAACCCTCATGTGACAGCAGTCTATGCAGAGTTCCTGATTCAGTGAGTCAAGGAGGAGACTGACTGACAGTATTTCTAACGCAGTGAAGATCACGATATTGGACCACATTTGAAAAACCACCACATTAGACTAAATCTTAAGAGTGGTTCCCCTTACCCATGGTTTTGCCTTCTGTAGTTTCAGGAGCCTACCATCGTCTACGGCCCCCAAATATTAAAAGTAACATTCTAGAAATAATCCATGTTCTGAGTAACTGATGAAAGTTTTGCAAAGGCCCACCTCATCCCACCTAGGATTGCAAACCATTCCTTTGTCCACCACAGTCACGCTGTACACACTACCTGTGCAACAGTCCTGCGGTAGCTGCGTCGCCTGGCAGGTCACACGTCAGGACAGAAGTGTTTGTGTTAAAGCAACACAGCAGAATGCAGTAATACTACTAATTTGGAGAAAGCCTAAAGTGCTTCATTTAAGTGAAAAGCTGAAAGTTGTTGACTTGGCTGGGTTTGGGGGGCACATGCTTGTAATCCTAGCATTTGGGAGACTGAGGCAGGAGGAGCACAACAAGTGTGAGGCCAGCCTGGGCTACACAGTGAGTTCCAGGCCAGCCTGAACAACATAGCAAGACCCTGTCTCAAAAAACAAACAGGACCAGGGATTTAGCTCAGTGGTTCTGCTACCTGCCTTGCAAGTGCAAGGTCCCGAGTTCAATCTCTGGTACCAAACAAACAAACAAGGAAAGCTGTTGATTTAATAAGAAAAGGAAAATAGTTGTATACTGAGGTAGCTATAATCTACTATAAGAAGGAAGCTTCAATTTGTGAAACTGAAGGAAAAAGGAATTCATGCTGGTTTTGCTGTTGTGTATCAAAGCATTACTGAAATTGTACCCAAGTTCAGGACTAGCTGCAGTTTCAGGGACCTACTGGGGTCTAGGAACAGATCCCCGAGGATACAGCAGGACTACTGCCCCGGGGCAGCGGCTGCGCCCTTCTCATCTCCCAGGGGACCCAGAGTCCACACACCCAGGCTGTGACACAGGAAGGACACAGCCTCCCTCTCCTCCCCGTGAGGCTGCAAGGCACTCGGCGTGCTTACCCATGGAGGCCAGGTTCTCGTAGTTCTCCAACATCACCTCTCTGTAGAGGTCTCTGTGACTTTGGTCCAGTAAAACCCACTCCTCCTGGGTGAAGTCCAAGGCCACATCCTCGAAGGTCACCGAGTCCTGAATCGGCACACACAGGCCAGCCTGAGTGACAAGTCACGGCCGTGACCTCTCCACCAACGCTCACGGGAGATGAGGGGGTGAGGCTGACACCCACACGGGGCTCTGAGGGCCTCCGCTGCCCAGCCGGGGCCCAGCAGGCCTAGGGCCCTTTCCTCTACCTACGTCTGCTCACTGTCGTGGGGCCGCAGTGGCCCTTCTGAAACACAAACTGCTCTCCCCAGAACTAGCCTGGGTGCTCTTCTCCCCTTATTCTGTACTGTTAAAGTACAGCTCCTGAACCCATGCGTACACTTGATGAACAGGCATGAATGAATAGACTTTCACAGAAAGGGACATTTTCTTCTTCCTTAATATCTGTCAGAGTACTTGGCAAAATAACAAACATATCCTTGTCACCGTAAATGTCATCACTGACTACTTAATTACTGACTCCCTGGAATAGCTTCCAGGCCATACCTTACCAGTAAGAGGAATGCAGCTCTCTGGAAAGATCAGCTGGGGACTCATTCAGGTGGGGAGGCAAATGTGCTTTGGCTGGAAATGTGTCCACCTGTTTGGGGCAAGCACATCATTTTGTGAGACAAGTTTCTGCATACCTGATAGCAGTTTGTCAGGCCGTCACCCACTATCTTTTCTTCCTTTATCTTTTCTTCAAGAAGGAAGACTGGGTGTCTAGAAAGATGAGCTCCTGGAAAACAGAAAAGGCTTGAGAATCCAGAACTGAGCAAAACTCCTGCTCCTGCACGCTGGAAGTCATTCCACGCTAGTACGAAATTCCCATGCGCGCACACGCGCACACACACACACACACACACACACACACTACTAGTGCCACAGCTGCTGCCTCATGGAGCACAAAAAGGGATCTTGGGGGAGAAGGGGGGGGAATCTTGAGCCATGTTCCTCCCCCAGGAAAGCTGTAATAGTCTCATTTTATAGGTAAAAAATATTTGGTATTTTTGGTTGTTGTTTGGTAGTAATAGGGACTGAACCTAAGGCCTTCATCCCCAACTGTTTTTACATTTTTTTAAAATTTTAAGACAAGGTCTCATTAAATTGCCCACGTGAGGCTTCAACTTGTCCTCCTGCCTCAGCCTCCTAGAGTGCTGGGATTGCAGGTGTGCGCCACCACACTTGGCCAGGTAAGGAATTTCTTTAGGAAAGGACATTTAAACACACAGAAATTAAGCCTGCACTGGGCCATGGCGATACATCTCATGAGGGAGATTATGTAGCACACATACTAGGGAGCCAACAAGCACAGCGGCCAGCATTCTCTGGCCCACTCTGACATCAGAGAGAACAGAAGGGTAGGTGACCACTGCTGGGCCCTGGCCACTGCAGTCTGTTGTTCAAAGGGGACAGAGGGAGAGCATCAACGGGACTGTCCTGCGCCCAAATCAATGGCTGACACCCTGGGAGGCTCCAGGTAAAACGTTCCCCTTTTGTGGCAAACAAGAGGTACTTCGTGGTGATCCTAGAGCCCACGACTAAGAGACATTGCCATTCTTTATGCAGGGTCATCTGGAGCCCCCCAATACGTTTATTGGTACATTTAAAACAAACAAAGCAGTCACATTTGTCATTGGATCTTGTACCTTTACACGATACATCTTGGTTTTTGTCTTTCCCCATGCCTCTGCCCTCCCTTCACCCTTCCCTATTTACAAAGACTTTGTTTCCATTTCTTCTTTTCACATTCCCCCCTTATTTCCTTTCCCCTCCCCTTCCCACTTCCCCTTTAGCCATTTTCTTCCTATTTCTCGCTCCCAATTATACCATTTGAACCTTACTTACATTTAGTTTTTCACACCAGAGAAACTATTCAGTATTTACATGTGTCCTATGCATCCACTTCGCTATAAATGTTTCTAGTTTCTCGTTCTTTATGGCTGCGTAGTGCTCCATTTTATAGAAAACCACATCTGCTTTATCCAGTCTCCAGCTGATGTGGACCCTCCTAATATCAACCAGCGATTCCCATCAATACTGCGTCACCACTCATCAGAAAGGTATCACATGATGTCATGTGCTGAGCCCTTTAGGACTGAATTTTCACTGTACACAAACACTCACCTAAGCATCATACCGACCCTTTACATTAGAATCAATATGCGTATTTATTTCAGCATTAAATAGGCAGGACGTGAAGGCAGGAGGACCTCAAGTTCAAGCCCAGCCCAGGTAATTTAGTGAGACCCTCTCTCGAGCTGGCTGTGATGGCGCATGCCTGTAATGCCAACACTTAAGAGCCCCAGGCAGGAGGATCACTGCAAGCTGAAGGTCAGCCTGTGACATAGTGAGCTCACGGCCAGCCTGAACTACCCAGTGAAACTGTCTCCAAAACCAAAACCAAAATACAGTGGACCCTTGACTTATGAACTCAATTCATTCCCAAGGGCTGGTTGTAATTCAAATTGGTCAATGGCCTTCAGAGTCTCTTTCCTATATAACACTTTCTTCTAGGCAGATCTCAGTGTCCTTAAGTACATTAGCCCAGGATTTCTCAACCCACAGAGGAAAGGATGTTGCAATGTTCTTTCCAGATTTTTTTTTTTGGTACCAGGGATCAAACTCAGGACTTTGTGCTTGCAAGGCGGGAGGCAGCACCGTTGAGCTAAATCCTGCCCCCCCTCTTTCAGAACTCTTTAAGAGTTAAATCTGTATCTGAGCCCATCTGCAAGCACAAGCGACTGGCATTCAGGTTGTAACTCAAGTTGTTCATGTGTTGGTCCAGTCGTAACTCAAGGGTCCACTGAAACTTAGTGAGATGGGGCTTGGGACATAGCTCAATAGGAAGGCCCTGGGTTCAATCCCAAGTAATATGATGCAAAAACAAAAACCAAACCAAACCAAATCTAGACTCCAACACCATGAAAGTTCCTTATCCCCTAGTTAGGAAGCAGAGCTCCTAGACCCGACTGCAGATTTGTCTCTGAATTCTGATTGCCTGTGTTTGCTGGCATACTCCGGGGTGAAGAGAAAGAACATTTTGATTCCAGGCCCAGCACTTTGCAGCACTTGGAGATCTTTATCTCTAGGGGCACAATGACAGCCCCAATCCTCAGAAGATTAGATAGCTATCTGGCCACTTCGGGCTCCTTCTGTCACTACACCAAGAGGCAAAATGAAGGGCCAGGGAGTTACCACCTGGGCTGACAGGTCCCAGGTACCAAAGGGGACCTGGGGTACTGCTACACAACCGTGGCAAGGAGGGTGAAGCATGACACAAAGGCGTGTTTCTACGCTCTGTAGACAACGGATGCGCAGCCAGGTGTGGCTATACCTGTCACTCCAGCTCCTTGGGAGGCTGAGTATTAGTTTGTATCCAGGCATGTGCTCAGACACGGGACCTTGGGGAGGCAACTGGATTACAGTTGACCCTTGAGTTACAACAGGCCTTACCTATGAATGATTTGGGTCATGACTGGAGTTTTAATTTTAACTTATGACCAAAGTCTTGCGTTACGACCTGCATGCCGGCCACTCGTGTGACTGTAAACAAAGACTTGCAATGTCAGAAAAATGTATGTAAGCATACAGAAGCATCAGTCTGAGCCCAGATGCACCTGTTTGTGGATGTGATTTTGGTCAGCGCTTTATATAACTGCTATGAGTTCTTACATCAAAATGGCCCCAAAATAGCTAGGGAAAAAAAAAAAAGCTGAGGAAGGAAGGGAGGGTAAAGAAGGCAATCACAATAAAAAAGGAAACTGGAGAAATATGAGAGCGTTGCTCATGTGCCCGATCTCGCCAATATGCACAACATGTCAAAATCCACCATCTCGTAAGGAAGCTGGTGCTGCTACAGGTGTTATTCAATTAGTAAGTTACGCTCAACAGTGCTAGATGAGGTGGGAAGGCTATGATTAGTGTGGATAAATGAAAGGCAAATGGCAGGTTATAGCCAGAGTCTATAATTTGAGTGTGTGTGTGTGTGTGTGTGTGTGTTACAGCACTGAGGATTGAACCCAGGACCCTGTGCTTGCAGGGCAGGCATGATGCCACTGAGCTACATCTGCAGCCAGAGCCTACAACTGGTAAAAAAGTGAGGGCTATCAATGCAGATCTCACAAGGATAATCCATAAACACGTGATAATGGTGAAACATTCTGTGCCAGTAAGATGTGGTTTCATAATTTTAAAGTAAGAATATAGCATAACTAGGCACAGTGAAGCAGCCCGTGCGCATAAAAGGGCTGATGAAAATTACATACACCAGGGCTGGGGATTTCGCTCAGTGGTTCCACCGCCTGCCTCGCAAGTGCAAGGACCCAAGTTTGATCCCCGGTACCAAAAAAAAAAAGAAAGAAAGAAAGTCACATTGCCACACTTTGAAATGGCTTTGTTCTCATTAAGTTTTCAACTGTGATGCAACTGGCCTTTTCTAGAAGAAAATGCCTAGAACATACATTATCCAGGAAGAGAAGAAAATGCCAGGCCGAAAGCCTATGAAGGATGGGCTAACCTTAATGTTATGTGCCAGTGCAAGTGGTGACCTCAAGGTAAAGCCTCTCTTGGTTTATCACTCTGAGGCCCATAGTGTTCAAAAATGGAAAGCCATGAAGAACAGACTGGGTGTCATGTGAAGATCGGACACAAAAGCTTGGGTAACAAAAGTACTTTTCTTGAGTGGATCCAGGAGGCTTTCGGTCCTACTCTTAAGAAATATCTAGAGGACAAAGGTTTACCACTAAAGGCTCTCCTCATCATGGACAGTGCCCCTGCTCACCCACGAGATTTGGAAGAAGAATTGGCTGAAGTTTCCATGGCTCTCAGGTGACTTCCTCCCACCTCATGCAACTCCTCCACTGCAGCCAATGGACCAGCCGGTTATAGTTAACTTTAAGGAGCTATACACCAAGGAACTGTTCCTGAAGTGCTTCCAGATGGTCTCAGATACAGATTTAACCCTTAAAGAGTTCGAGAAGAAACAAGTCAGCACCCTTTCCTGTGTGGGTTTGGGAAACCCTGGGCCAATGTCTAAGGACAGTGAGATCTGCGTGGAACAAAGTGCAGCCTAAAACCATAAATGACAGAGACTTTGAAGGCTGTGTAAAGGCCTGAGCCTTCAATTGACCCTGTGGTTGATGACTGTCATTATAACAGAGTCCACAGGCTCACAGGTAGACAGTGGTGATGCCGAGGAACAGGTGGAGGAGCACTCGGAGGAGCTGTCTACAGAGGAACCTCAGCAACTTCCGGCTGAGCAACAGAGAACGGCCGCTGAGGAGCTTTCTGAAGAGGAGGGGGAGTATCAACAATCAGTGCGGCAAAGCTCTTCCGAAATAAAGGAAATCCTGAAGAAATGGGCAGAGCTACAGACACGTGTAGAGAGGACCCGCCCAGAGAAAAAGCCAATCATTGCATTTGCTTGTTTAATGACAATGTCACATCAGACTACAGAAGAACATTGAAGACAGAAACAGACAACCTTAGACCAGCTTTAGTTCTGAAGAGGTCAGGACCTAGTGAGGCAGAAGCAGGTCCCAGTGGGAAGGACGCCGGAGAGCCGGATTCCTGGTGCTCTCACGGAAGGGGACCCTCCTTCCAAACAACCACCACCTCCATTCCATCCTCCCCGTGAGCCAGAGATGTCAACCTAATGGCGAGTTCAGTATGCAATTGGTGTTTTGGTAAGCTAGGCACATTGTACAACTTTTTGGTGAACACTAGGAAAATTATTGA